TCATCCATTTGGATAAATAGAGTTTTGGAATTATAGCTGATGTCAGTCCATGATAAAAACCCGAAATCTAATTTTTAACCTTAATAATAATAATTATAATTCCTCACATAGGTTTATAACCCTCATTTGGTCCTGATTATTAAGTGGACACTCTTAAGGTCAGTCTAGTATCGCTCAAAGGTTATCCATAACTTATCGTCTTACCAATGAACGGATTTCATTTTTAGAGACTAATTTAATCTGACAATTGTTTTCAGGACAAATTAGCATCGACTAGGAAAACTAGAACAAAAGTCCTTCAGTGCTTTATTGGTTTTAAATAGATAGCTTTTCCAGTTGATATAAAGCTGTGTGAAACAAATAATTACCGATTTCTGAGTATTTTAAGTCCCCTTCTATCATACTGGTATTTTCAATGAGCAACTAATATCATTATCAATATATGATGGTAAGATATATTTCCTTTGAATTATTGTTTGATTTAGTGAATTTATTGTGAAACTCTTAGCAATTAGTAATTTTATTTAATTAATCAGAAAGGTGTTTATGCGAACTAAAGGTGCAGTATAGATCACATAACAGTGATAATTCTTAAAAATTAAAAAGCTCTCACAAACAGACATATACATGAATTTCATTACAATATATCGCACAAAAACGCCAAGAACGTGAAGTGAAGAAAACATTATGCGTCTGTAATGTGTGCATTCATTTTATTAAAACAACGCGTTAAACGGTTATTATTCTCGATATGAATTCTATCAACAATAAACAATGTTGGTTTTTCAACTTGCTCAAATTCTTTGATAAAGTAAATTCAGCTTAAAACAAATAAGGCAAGTAAAATAGAAGACAGTAATTAAAATAACTCAGTATATTAGAGTATGAAGTATTGACCTTTAAAATGACGGATGTCAAATTCGAGTCTCAGTTGGACATCAAAAACTAGTTACACTCAGTCACCATATCAGTAATAAGGTTAAACGCTTGTCCCGTACTTCTGCTAAGAAGGCTCGAAAGTTCCTATTTTCTTACATTGTAATTTAAATTTTTACATTCATGTTAAAAGTCTGACATGAAACGAAAATTCCTATTTCCCACTATGAACATTGATATTCTCTTATTGTCTGCTTAAACTTTTGTTACCATAATGCTATATTTTTCCCATGGTCATAAATAAATTGTATATGCAAAATAGTGGCATAATATTCTTGGTTTCTCAGATTACGGTTAGAGTTCTTTTCTAAAAGGTTTGTCTTCTATTCATTTTTTGCATCATTGTGTGCGTATACAATTTAAGTGTAACGGCCTTATAGGTGAAAGACAGACTAAAAGTGTACAATTTCTTCAGTGCTGCTGAAGTTTCCACTTACCAAAGTAGAACATACTAGTTTCATTGGCAGCCATTACCGAAATAATATCAATAAATCGCTGTTGTTACTTTTTTGATAAAATGGTTAGCACAAGAACCTTTTGTTTGAGAAATATTAGGAGGGTTTTACTTTTTGAAACTACACTTCAAAATTATCTAAAGATAACATAAAACAGTAAACAGTTTAAATTGATAACTTCGTTAACACCCTGTTAAGAATACAAATCTAATTATGAGATTGAATCTGTTCTTGGATCGAGTGAAGTTAGATATTAACATCGTTGGATACCGGCTCAGTGGTCTAGAGGTTAAGTGTTCGCATGAAAGACTGAAAGTCATTGGTCAGATCCCGTGTGGGAATTGTGGATTCGCACTGTCGATGAGTCCCATAATAAGACGAAACGCCCGTCCAGTGCCTCCAGGTTTTCAATGGTAGTTTAGCTTAGATCAATTAGTGAATCAAGCTGTGAAAATTTAAATTCTGTCAATCAATTGGTTTAGTAATTATTATCGAGATTTTTTACATTAGTCATAATAAATATTTTATATTCCGTAAGTTCAATGATTCTTCTAGTACTTATTGAAAAGTTCCATTATTCGATATAACGTAAACGTTCAATTAGAAATTTATCATAAAAAGAGATTTTTGTAGAAAATACCCTAACATTTAATTAGTCAGCGAGACAAACGGAGAAATACATTCATATTTGACTATGCTATAAAGTATTACCTTATGGATCACGGTGAATCCATTGGCATGACAGCATAATTTCTAATAACTAAAATAATTATTAATAATTGAACTCATGAGTCAATTAAAGCTAGACCACCGTGGAAAATTTGGAAACACTGGACGGCCGTTTCGTTCTAGTATAGGACTATTCAGCAGTGCACATCCACCATTCTGCTAGCTTAGGACTCATGAATTCAACTACTAAATTACTACAACTTCCATAAAACCCCTTTCTAATAAAATAATTATGCTGATATTTTTTGTCAGTGTTCTTCAAAAAACATTAGGATAAATCGTTCTCGTTATCTAGTTGCGGGGTGATTTATTATTATTATTATTATCTGTTGCTCGTTGTGCTTCTTTTTAATACGAAAATTTGAATCTGCTGAAAAATCAATAAATATAAACCGAATTTCCATCATAAACAACAACAATAACGATTATCATCACTATTATTAGTGATGAAATCATATGGAAAAGAAAAATTTAATTAAATAGAAGACGATTTCTCTTAAAGTTCCCTTATACGACACAATCGAAACTTACAAAAGCAATTAAATGTATTTCTAAAAATAGAAATTGACTGATCAATCGACTGGACTTTTGAATAACAATATATAATGTCAATAATGAGTTAGAACAAACAATTAGCATTCCGACAGAAATGTATTTATCTCTTACAATTTGTTGCTAAATAGAATTTCGTTTGGCACTAGTGAATTAGGGTAGCTATGATTCAATATTTTTGTTTTTAATATTCACATTACGATAGGTTGTGCGGTAAAATATAGACGGATATAAAACATTAGGTGGTTACGGAAAAATTGGCAAGTAACCATGAGAGGCAAAATCATAGAATCCAGTGTACTGGGACAACCGAAGGTTTTCCTTACAGAACATTTATAAATATAGATGAACATCGTGGTAATCGGTATTCAGGCATACGCAACACGTGGCCCAACCATCTCAGTCGGTGAAGATTCACAACCTCATCAACTGATTTACCATCATTCCCTAATTCCTTACGTCTAACCTCACCATTACTTATCCGGTGATCCAAGCAGATGCCAGAAATATTTCAAATACTAGTAGCTTACGAGTATCTTCTACTCTTAAAGGCCATGTTTCACTGCCGTAAATTAAAACAGAACGAACTGTCACACAGTATACTCGTCCCTTAATTGATAGACGGATATCTTGCCTTCGCCATAGGTGACGTAAGTTGGCAAAAGCCAAACGAGCTTTCTGAATCCGTGCAGAGATTCCGTCAGACACCAACCCGCTAAAGTTGGTCAGACTTCCAAGATAAGTGAAGTTGTCGACGCGTTCGTCTACTCCACTCTCTATCCTTAGTTTGGGTGTTGACGCACGCCAGTCCTGAAGCAACAACTTGCATTTAGAGGGAGAGAAGCGCATTCCAAACATTCTGGCATTGTTGCTTAGTGCTACCAAAAGACTTTGCATTTTATCAGCGTCTTCACTAAGCAGAAATGTGTCATCTGCGTATTCTAAGTTGATAAGTGAACCTCCCTGTAGGAGATCAATTCCCAAGAACGTTATTTCCAGCAGTAGGTTTATGACCAAGTTGAAAAAATAGAGATAGTGAACAGTTTCGATGGACACCACTTGAGCTTGCAAAAGTAGATGACAGTTCGCCATAAGCTCTGACTCGACTAGTAATGTTCGAGTAAATAGCCTTCACAAGGTTTATGTACTTCTGAGGTACGCATTTCAATGACAGACACTGCCACAGAATCTCGCGGTCTACCGAGTCAAATGCTGCTTTTAAGTCAAGAAATACCACCATGGTCGGACGCCGATAAGTATGCCTGTGTTCTAGAACCTGACGAATGGTGACCGGGTCTGAAGCCAGCTTGATTCTCTTGTGTTTGAGGTTCACGAGTCCGAGTTAGGCGCCTGGTAATTATTTAGGCTAGTATTTTAGATGCTATATTAGTCAAATATAATGGTTTTGATCCCTTCTTATATGTCGGGACAATCAGTGATTGCGACCAGTCAGATGAGATTACGCCCAACTCCCAGATTTTAGCTAGAATGTTAGTTAACCTAATCGCCAAAACTAGACCATTATCCTTAAAGAACGCTGGAACCAATCCATCTGTTCTCCCTCATTTCAGATTAGCTATACCTTTTTGAAATTCAACTAGAGTTGGGGGACCTACTTCAGTGTTCCATTCAGGTTGTTTGGGAGCAGTGAGTAGTTGTAAAGTAGCTGAAGACCAGTTCAACTGCCCCTTAAAATGTTCCGCCCATCGTTCTAAACGTCTGAGCTGGGAGCAGATAATAGTGTCGTCTTTTCCCGAGATCGTCTCACACTTGACTTATTAATTCCAGTTTATTTTATTAGTCTGAACAGTTGTATGATGTTACCTACAGCCGCAGCCTTTTATATCTCTTTCGCTTTCGTTGTCCATCACTGCTCACGGTCGTTCCTTAGACTTTTGGTTAACCTACATTTGATTTGTTTTCGCTCTTCATCATGTTCAGAGCCTGATGGGATGAGTTTACGAGAATCAATCAGTGCGATAGACTTGGTGGAGATTCATTGGTTTTACGTAACCCTTTGGTTTAAATCACTAATAGATGGCACTGCTGTTTCTACAGCTGTTCGTATATCTTTCCAAGCAACATCTGGGTCAGGTATGGTCAAAATTAGTGATTAAGACAACTGTAAAGTGAAGGAAGTGATACACGAGAATCTCGTAATTCATTCACATGTATGCTTCGAAATTAACTAGTGCAAAGAGTAAAGCATGCCACCTTACTCGCAATGTACTTTCAACGACTAGGGTTATGAAACTTAGAAATGCCTGGTTTTATCTAATTTATTCAGTTTTAGAAATAATAATTTTGTGTTGCTTCATTACCTCTTAGATTAACTGATGGATGCAAACATCGAATGTTGAAACCGATTTAATACTATCTGAATGGGTAAAATCACAGAAGAACCATTATTTCAGAAAAAACGAAAATTTGGATTGACAAACGAATTTAATCTGAATACGCAGTTTGTAAATCCAAAAGAAGATGACTACTTTGTGATAGGTCCATCTGATGGTAAATTTTCAAATTCGATTGCCTACAGAAATAAAATGAAGCGAAATGCTCGAAGTGTTTCGCCAAAGAAAAAACAAGAAAATACCAGTAACGGTTTAAAACAGCAATTGTCTGCTCAAATAAACAGGCAAATTCGAAAACCATCACCTATCCTAAAACCTCATAGAGATGAAGCTATCCAAACAGACGGAGCACATAAAGCACTCGAAGAGGAGATTCAACGAATTCGAACTGAGATTGAAAACAGAAAGAGAATTTTACGTGCAAGAGAGGAAGCAAAAGAGAAGAAGCACGTAAAAATCGAAAATGAACTTAAACAAAAGCCCCATACAAAGATTTCCAAACCAGTAGAATCTGATCATCTAATGATCACTCACGCTCCCGATGCCCCACGTCAACGTAAAAGTAATAAAACTCCACTTCAAGAGTACTCAGAAAACTGGAAATTGGAGCCTCCAAAAGCTGCAGTTTACACTTGTGAAAAAAGTCGTCTTTCAGAATATCAGAGTGCATTTAAGGTACCACAGTTCAATTATAAATTTGAACCAACAAGATCTACCAGACCATTCACATGTAAACTAGATAAATTCCAATCTCGTAAAATCCCTTACGATACAGAATACAGGCACGAATATAAACCTTTTAAATATGTCCCAGTTGATCAATTAAAATCAAGTGAAGTAATAGAAAACAAAGATGTACATATTATTCCTCTAAAACGTCCGTCATCAGCATATGGAATTAGAGAAATAGCCACGGATATTAATAAGACAGAAAAAGGACGGATTCGAGCATTAACCCCGCCATCACAAATGAACACTAAACTAACACAACATAAAAAGAAGTATACTACAGAATATAATGCGAAATATATAGACTATTCAGATGTATTAGGTGTTCCACGAAATCAAATGAAATCATCAAATAAAAGTATATCAAATGACTGGTACCGAGAAATAGTAGTACTACGTAGAAAAGCTGATGCCTATCGAAAACGTGATCGAGAATCACACTTTTCGCGTGAGCACTTAGCACAACTGGAATCTGACTATGTTGATCATTGGGATCCCCCAAGTAATGATAATTATATGGAAAATCTAGAAAAATATAAAGAAGCCTTACAAATGCCAAGAGCTGGAAAACCATCAACGGACTTAATTTCTAATCCAGACGAAATGGTGCTATCGGCTAATCAACGAAGGAGAGCAATGTTGGACAGTCACAATGTCGCAGAAATAATGGATCAAGATGATTGCTCTGACACAGACTGCGATCAAAATATAGAATATAATGACGATCACTTATCCACCCAGCCATACCGTAGATATAAAACAGATGTGAAATGTAATAGAGAAAATTATGTAGGAACATTACCAGCTGCTACGAAATATAACCATACTGATGAAGCATATGACAGCGCAAACCACAGCTTAAAATCAGAAAATGATTCAATTCGACTAGCAAATTTAGATGAGCCAAGAACAAATAATTCGTGCATAAAACAATGGTCAAATGATTCTAAAAACCATGCATCTAAAAGGCAGAACCACTGGTTTAGCAATGAATACGAACGAAAACAAAGAACAGTGGATGAAACAGGATCGCTGACTAGCTGTAGTTCGCTGTCTGAGGAATCAATGGAATCAAGTGCACGTTTAGCCCACGAAACTCTGAAACGAGCACAAAAGCAACATGAACGTATATTACGAGAACAAAAACATTATAATGACAACATATATTCTCCAAATGCATATTCTGACTGTGAATGTAAGCGGATTGAACTCTGAAAAAAACCCATTTCAAATTATGATAAACATTTGTATGGTGTTTTATAAATTATGTATTTGTAATAGCAAGTATAAATCTGGATAAATACGCATGCATAAATAAAACTGTCCAAGGAGTCTTATCAAACTATTTGTAAATAAAAGGACGATACATTGCTTTGAATTGAAAAATAACTTTAATCCTTGTTGAATGACCGTACTGGTGCACACTAACTGACTTTAGAGGAAAGTGGTCACTGGTTGAATACATCAGTTGTGAACTAAGTGAGTATTGTGTACAGTTCAGAGACAGTGGGTTTTTCTACCGGAGAATACCAGTCAGCCCACAACCATACGTTTACGACTTTTTGTTGACTGTTGTGAAAAATTAAGCACAGAATCAATAAAAAAGTATCTCCATGCTTCGAAAATCTTTATATTAATTAGTAATAAAGGCAGATATTACGAATTATATGCATACATATACATACGAAGTGGACAACAAACAAAGGGAAAATAGTTTTTGGAGAAAAGAAAGCAACGACTGGATGTACAATGGTATACATATAAATAAATATATAGGCAAAAAATGGTGTAAAAACAATTCAGAGTAGATATTACAGCTTTGGTTTAATTTATATACGTATATCTGGCATACATTTCATGTATGGCACATTAATTAATAGTTTTGAATAAAATAATGTACACAAATGTGATAAAATCACGACATAAGTTATGCAAGGATTTGTATATATATAAAGAGGAATTCTAAGTAAATGATGGGTTCAGCAGGTAGTAAATGGGTAGAAATGAGTTCATAATCACCGGATAATAAAAAACAAAATTGAAAGAAATAAGTATTAAGAAAAGACTAGATAAAGTCAATTAAGTTTCAAGTTGTTCAGTGCATAAAACATGGCAGTAGAGTTGTAAAGTTGATATGAATACACAACCATATCATCTACCAGTAATTATAGTTAGACATGAAACAAAAAGTAATTAGTTACTACATAAAGTACTATAAAATAAACATAAATGACTAGATAATAAACTTAACAATTTACATTTTCAAAAAGGAAGCATTATCATCAGCAACAAAATGAAAAAGAAATACTAAATTACAAAATAACTTAAGAATTGATACAAAAGAAACGGCGCCAACCCTTTTTAAGAGTTTTACACTTATTATTCTCTGTTACAATATGAAACGGGTGACTATCGGTCATCATATGGTTATTGCTAATACTATGATCATTATTAGAAGCTTGTGTGCAGTCCCCATTATATAACAATGATCCATTTGACTTTGGTTCACGCAATAATACTGGACCACCTGAATCAGCTACTTTAAGACCACACCAAATAGCTAGATCGAAAACAGTCTTAAGATTTTTCTGAGTTAACGCGGAACATTCTACGTAAGCTTCAGCGCCTAATTCAATAGCCAAACATTCGGCCTTTTCCTTATCTATAGGCTCTTCACCAACTTTAGACAGTTCTAATAAACGTCCAATATCATTACGTAGATCACATGCACAACCAATAAGAAGAAATATAGGACCCGGTATTAAGTTAGCTTCATTTACACTTTTTAATCCGCGATTAGTGTGCACAGAAGATTTTGATTTAGTGGGTGCTGAAGCTGAAAGATTATCAATATTTCTTCGTGTAGTGGATAAGCCGAATAGTTTTGAAGCAGTTTGTTCAGCAGCACTGTTAAGAATAATGGGAGCAGACGCTAGTTCTTTCAACCAAACAGTTTTCAAAGATCTAAAAGTATCTGGCCGGACGACAGAGAAACATAGTAAGATAACATGTGCATCCAAATATGACAAATGTCTCAAAGAACTAACTTCTTCCTGAAGGAAGTAGAAAAAGAATAGTCAAATAGAAATGTTTAACAAATATATGAAATAGTTTTCAAAAAATAACAAAAATGACAGTTCAATCTTTAACGCCGGCATAGGTCACAGTTGATAATGAATGCAACTAACTAAATGGCACAACAATGAAGCATTTAGTAGTCGATATTAAGGCCTAAGATCCGCGAAGGGTAACGGATGTAGGTAATTAGCGAGACAATTAAGCCACAAGTGAATAACATCGTTTCTGTCTATCAACTAGTTTGTGTAGACAATCTGATCTCAAAAAGGACCAGTTGTGATTCAAGTAACACCATAATGCAAAGAAATCAACGATTTAGGTTCAAGTTTTATGAGGAACATAAGTTTCATTCGACATTGATGGAACTGAATATTTGTGTTATGATAATTGTCATCATATAAATGACGTCAAGTACATAAATTCGTAAGGGTTGAAAGCAGACATATATATCTGTAAAAACTCTATAAAAACAATGAAGTTGAGAAAGTAAATGGCTTTATTTAGTATACATTTAACTGAGTATATTATAGTCATCCTTTATATTTGATCTCCGGGTGAGTTGAGATATAAACTTTTTACAGTAAACTATATATATATATATATATATATATATATATATGGAGCAGCAAAGTAAATGAGCATTGGCTTTGTGACCTATATTTCTCTTCTTAATTAACTGAAAAATAGGACAATCATACCATTTTCGTCGAATATTCGTAAAGAAAAAACAATAGCTTTAATTTTCTAACATTTACTGTCAGTTGGCTAGTGAATCTGTCACTTGGATACTACTTGGTCAGGTTAAAGGGCTCAGTTCTGTAACCAAATTACCAGTGTATATCTTTCATACGCTTCAGTAATCTATTATATCAATTGTTCCGTTATAACGTATCTGGGTCTGAATAAGGCGTTAGGACAAACGTTTTATGGATAAATAATTCTAGTCGCTAAATTCCCGGTAGTAACTGTTCCATTCAACTAAAAAAACAAATACCATACAGTACTTTATTGGAAGTCTGATGAATAGTTAATGTCAACTTTATATCAATAATAAAACCTATTGTAACCACATCTTTTGTTTCAATCCTGTGACTGCCATCCAAAAATCAAACAAACAAAAGCAGAACTTCATACAAAAATAAAGTGATTGAACGTCATAAAAGGAGAAAATTGACTAGGAAAAAAAATAATAAGATAAATACAGTGAACGTGAGTTAGAAAATAAATATAGTGAAAATTTCCATTTTGACATTTGGTAAATAAATACGGAACGAATTGAGCGAAGGAATTTCTTTTCTTCGTTCAATTCTTCCCTTTATTTAGAAAATAAATGTTTGCCTTATCAATACTTGGTCATGTTGAGGGATGTTTGCCTATGAGTTTGAAAAGGTGAACTCATATGTACACAGAGATTTAATCAGCTTGTATACTTTATCTTCAATAGTCAAAAGTAGAATGAATCTGTCTTTCTAACTTAATTCTAAAGCTTTCCCTAGGCTTGTTCCATGTGTTAAGTCAATATATCCATCACAATAACACATGTTGAAAATATATAAATAATGACTTTTGGGGAAAGTATGCACTTCAGTTTGTAAGTTTCGACTTATTAAATATTTCTGGGGCACTGAATCGCAAGTCACAATCTACTCCATTTAATTTGGTCCAGTAGCACTGTCAGATAAGACATGATTATTGTGGCTTTTAATAAGCATTTAGTCTTTGGATTGAATTTTTTGCTTTTTCATGATACTGAGGTGTACCACAACAAACATTAGCCAACAAGCAGTTTTTCAGTAGCGTTACTTTGTGTACACTTTATGCAATTATACATACAGTGATACTGAATCCCCCATTCGATCATAATACAGAATTAATATTGAACCTGCAATGTTGTTTGAGACTCAAAAGTGTGTTCAATATATGGCTGAGTCAGCCCCTACGTTCCTCTTGCCTGTCGATGTGGGCTACAAAAACATTTATAACCTTGGAGAGTAACAAAAGAGTATGAAATTTCGAATAAACATTCGATTTAATATCAGATGATAGAAAGCAGGTTGGAAAACTTCAATTACAAATGGAACAAGGAGTAGTAAGAAAACCTTAACTTTACAATGAAGTATAACAGATGGAGACACTCACTTTTCCTCCTGTGTCACAAATTTGTAGATGTACTGGTCGTGTATCAGCACACACTTCAACTGAAATGAAGAGATCAGAATAACTTGTAAGACGAGCTACATAGTAAAAGAGGTGAATTTACAAGATGTCATGACATGCATTAATAGTCAGGAAATACTGAGGACAGGATGAAATTAGTATTTAATAAATGAGTATAGACATGGTGTAACACGAGCAAAACTCGGTCGTAGTGGCACGATAGGATCTATTCATCCTCCTCTAAATAGTGAATCGTGTTATTCCATGCTTATAGTCATCAAATCAATCGTTTCTTTTGGATCATTCTTCTTTTACTAACATATCCATTTATGTTCGTAATACCTTTACTTTTCACCGGTTTTTTTAATCTTGTATGGAATGTTGAAACTCCGCCTGTAGCTCTTATAGGGTTGCTGCCGGTCCCAAGCCCGGGTAAAGGAGGAGGGTTGGGCATGGGGTTAGCGTCCCCATCCCGTAGAAAACTAACTCGCTAAAAAAACGCTTACCAGAAAAAATAATCCAAACCATTTTAACTCTGCCCTGGGAGTTAGAAGGTCTTCATTTAGAAGAATTATGACGCTTCATGGTGAAAGCCGAGTTCCTTCAGAAGCCACGAGGCCGATGCCCCTTCTAACAACCAGAGCAAAAATTTTTATAGGTACATGGAACGTTCGAACAATGTGGGAAACCGGGAAGACCAGTCAAATATCAATGGAAATGAGGAGATACAACTTAGCAGTACTGGGAATCATCGAAACCCACTGGACCCAAACTGGACAGAAAAGGCTAGCTACGGGAGAGATGCTGCTATACTCCGGTCACGAAGAGGAAAATGCTCCACACACTCAGGGAGTAGCTCTTATGCTGTCCAAAATAGCACGAAATGCACTTGTAGGATGGGAATCTCACGGATCCAGAATCATCAAAGCATCATTCAAAACAAAGAAGGAGGGGATCTTAATGAATATTATCCAATGTTA